GATCACAATGCTCTTGAACAGATAAAATGAATTACAATGAGCTTGGCCCACCTTACTTCAACTCTCTAATGGACAGGAAGATCTTTCTCTCTTTCACCCAGACACTATGCCAAAGCCTGCTCCTCTAATATTTTGAGGACCCCAAGAATCTGTATTGTCACTTATCAGCAAATGACTCTCGAAGCCAATTCAAAGACCTTAAATTTGCAATTTATCCTAAGGAAGTACTACATAAGAAAGGTAGAATTAGCTATCAGGATGTTAAATATTTATATATATATTACTTCAGCTTGATCCCCCTAGCCCAGTAAGAAAAGAGCTCATATTTCCACTTCAAACAGGAAGAAACTGAGGAATAGGGAGGTCAGGTCATTTGCCCAGGAAAAGCAAGATTCTTACTCGTGTCTTCTCACATTAATATCCATACTCTTCATCTCATATTGCCTCTGCCTTTTTTTTTTGTGGAAAATGAAGAGTAGAAGCAATGAGACTTTTCATTAATTAAAAACATGTATAATAATTACATATCTGTCTGCTGTCCTCATTGGAACAGAAAATAAATTTTCTCAAATTAAAATCAAGGTATTTACAAAGGAACTGACTGATGTAAAAAGATAGCAGATGTATGCTTGCGGTTTCACAACCTAATGAAAGAATAAACACAAGTGGTGGGCACACCACTGAATCACCACCCAACGCAGAGAAAGGTCACAGAAGCTAAGGAAAACTCCAAACTGCCACGAAGCACTACACAACAACTTGTGACCTGCATACCGTGCAGAGAGATGTGGCCATCACTAAGTTCTAGTTTTGGTTATCACCTCCTATAGGTAATAAGGGAAGGAAAGCTATCCTTCACCATCAATCCATCTTTCATATTGGGAAAAACTACCTACAGCTTGAGCCTCCTACAATTTTGTGACTGTGTCCTTGACAACAATACCACTGCCTCCACCACAACACCAATCACTCCATCTGCTGTTTGAGCAGCAGCGATTCCTAATACCAATTATTACTGCTTCAGGAGCAAATCCCAATGCTAACAACCAAAACCATAAAACCACTAGTTTAAGAATTTCACCCAAACACCCGACTGTACATACATCCACTCCACAAACCTCTGCCCTTCCCAATTTCTCAGCGACTCCACGCTGGCTTTGAGCTACACACGGACCCTTCCTCATGTGCTGTCGCTTCTCCAAAGCCAAGAGAAGCCCAGAGGTCTACCTCCTGGGATGAATCATGCCACAAGACCAAAGCGTGGAGCTCATGCCAATTATGAAACTCGAGTTCCTGTTAAGCAAATTACAAAGCACCAGTCATAAAACCATATGCACTTAGGGCAACAGTTCTTAACCTTGGCTGCATATTAGTCACCTGACATGCTTTAAAATAATGCCAAAGCCTGGGCCTCACCCAAGGCCAATTAAATCAGAATCTCCATTGGTAGAGCCTAGCAAGGATATGTATTTTTAAAACTATTTATGTAAGGGAAGCCAGGATCAAGCAGCACCAAAACTTAAGTATTTCTAGAGTGGTACTTCTGAAAAACTTAATCTACAAATCTATCAATAAATTGAACAAAGAGCACAAAACACATCCTCCCATGCCATCTGAGTTACATTAAAATAATACATCAATAGAGTATTATCTTAAAATTATAGTCTCATGTTTATAGCAATGAAATACTAAATAAGAGAGGCCGGGAAGATGGCTCAGTAGAATAAGCACTTCCCTGGCAAGCTCAAGGACCAGAGTTCAATCCCCGGTTCCGCCAAAAAAAAAAAAAAAAAGAAATACTAAATAAGAGAGTACCGAGGCTTCTCATTACCCCAAGTAACTCCAGACCTATTCTGAGAATGAAGCCATATGTGGCTCTTAAGGTGGTCTCGTTTGCAGGCAGGAATTGGGCACCTGGCAGAGAGCAATGGGCAGCATCCATGAGAGCAGCAGCCTGAGCTCAGTGCCCTGATGGAGGGACCCTTCAGAGTTCAGGCATGATTAGCAGATTCTTTGTGCCCTTAAAGGAGAGTAATTATAGGCATGTGAAAAAAGCGAAGCACTCCCCGAGGTACTCTTCCTCACATGCTTCCCAAGAGACATGAGGGCCATTAAAAATTCCATGATGAAGAGGAAAAACAGCCTGGGAACAGCCAGGAGGCAATACAGCAAATTAATACACCAGCCCTCCTCAGGGAAAGCTGTGATAAAACAGGAAAGACTTCTCTCTTTGCAAAATAAAATTACACCACTAATGATAACATAGTCACACCACACACACACACACACACACACACACACACACACACATATCGTTCTAATGATGGGTGTAGAATTCCCAATGCTGCCTAAATCCTTTGAAAAAAATCTTTTCCTACAACAAATAAAAATGGGACAAGAAAAAGATAAAACTTTCACTCAAAACACTCTCTAATCTAGTCGCTTGGCTACCTCTTCCCTACGGCCACTGCTCCTCCCATTCTCCTTGGTACCAGGCTTCTGGCAAGCAGTCCACTCACTGAGTCTGAACCTGCTGATCCCCACTCCTTTTCCACTGACCCTTGGCTGGGTGGGGACCCTACTGCTCCCAAGAAGTTAAGAAAGCTCAGTGATTTGTCACTTACATTTTCTAAAACCTGCAGAGGTCACTTAGATGGCTCATTGCCCATTTTGGAGCAGTAGTCCCCAAATTGACTGTATACTTTGGCAAGTAACAGTCTTGAGGAAGTAGTCATTATATATGTGATAACCATAATTATATATAT